TTTATATGATTTAAATTATCTTTTGTGTTTTCATAATACCATTATATTTCCGATAACACACCAGCTACAGCGGTCCGTTAAAGAGTGAGAATAGTACAGTTTCCTTAAAAAATACTCACTGGCATTTCACTAACGAAGGAACAATAAGAGTAAATCAGTTAGAAATAGTTTTATTGGTTAATTGTGGCTGTAAGGGTGCTACTCGGCACTGACTTAAGGTTAATAAGCACCTGCTTTTGTTTGTTTGTTTGTTTGATTTTGAGCTTTCAACAGACACGAGAGTAGATTAAATCCTTCTTATTCTGCGATATCGCTCATCTAGAAGGTGGTCGTGAACTGCTCATAATTATGTTGTCCGACCCAAGAGTTTGTCTCTATCTCTGTCTCCGTCTCGGTCTCTATCTGTGTCGCTGTCTCTCGTCTATCTCTGTCTCTATATGTTTGTCTGTGTCCATTTATGTCTCCTTCTCTGCCTCTTTCTGTATCTTAGCCTCTATATATATATCCATCTCTCTGACTCTATCTCTATCTTCGTTTCTGTCTCTGTTCCTGTATCTACCTCCATCTCTTCCTCTGACTCTATATGTGTCTAGCTCTGTCTCTGTCCCAGTCCCTGTTTCTGTTAGCAGTATTGCATTTTGTTCACGCTTTAACAGGTAATGCTGTTGCAATGTTCCCGTTATATTGCCAGTTCAAAATAATCTACAAATTCTTTTAAACTGATAACTGGTTGTAAGCATTTTCAAGCTGAATAAACCACCAAGTGTATTGGAGCCAAATACTTGAGGAATGATAAGATTTTGCGCTCTACGGCAAGCATGGCAAACCCCTTTACTACGGCGGCCCAGATATATTACTACACAGTATGCAGGCCGGATGAAAGTCTACAGACAGAGACTGGGACGGAGGCAGAGACACAGACACACACAAAAACAGACAGAGGCACAGATAACTGCAATTTTACTGTTAGTAAAGTTTCATTGGAATGGATAGTATCAACGTATATTCTAGCCAAATATGCTATGGCCCAAACTGCAATAAACGATTAAACACATACCCCTTACATTGCTGTAGCATTATACAGTATTGCCTAATCTGATTTGTTATATCTCATAAACGTTGCTTCTTCCTTTCAGCAGGATACTTTATGACCTGACCTGACCCATTCTGACCCTACCCCTATCTTGGCACCATCGCCCAGTTCCTCTAAATCTCATTCAGACCGAATCATGACCCTCTGCTTCACCAGGGAATAAGAAGGGAAATTTTGGAGTCGGTGGGTGGAGCCTGCCATCTGTCACCGCCCCCTTGTGCCTCCCGCAGCCATTCAAAGGGAAGGAAATGCTGTGGACAAGAATCGTGATGATGTTGTTAACGTTAAATAATATATTTTTTAAAATTCGGAGTCAGCTTTTAGAGGATATAAAAGATTTTAGGTAAACTATAATCCGTAGCTGATGCGTGGAAAAATACAAAAATCGATGCAAAAATCATATCCGGGGATAATGGTTTATGGTACAATGAATAATACGAAGTCGCCGCTAATGTCATAATCTTAATGAACTAAAAATCAGAACTCTGAACTAGAAATACAGACTTGAATTAACTAATTCGACTCCTACAGGATCATAGTGGCAAGGAGACAACGGGTGACGAGGGGAGGTCGGGTGGGTGGCACGCTGCCCTGCGCGCGCCGGTGCCACAACCACCAGCCTAGTGCCCAACCACACCTGTTGACCCCACGCTCAGTAGCCCTTCGTACCACCTACTGGGCAGACCATCTCCCCTCACGCTGTCCGGGCCACGAGCATAACTCGGTCCCGCCGCCGCGAGGAAGTTCCCCTCGACGCTGAGATCAGTTAAGGCGATGCTGAATAACTGCAGCGCCTTCCCCATCCCCGCGTTCACACCAGGCGTGACCACCACGCACAGACAGTTTGACAGTGAAAGGCAAGGAGTGTTATAGTGTCAACTATAGCGAAAGGCAGAGTGTAACTCGTGTCCCTGGGAGGTGCAGCGGGGGACCCACAATACACCACCTGCTGAGCCAACCACATTACCACTGCTACCGTCCGGCCTACGTCGCTCAACCTCTGCCAGGTCATCAATACCACGGGAACTACTGATGGTCTAACTACACAGGCGATCGAGTGTTTGCAGTACCGAACCAAGTCCTCTAGTCAACCTTAGTCGTCAGCGCCCACAGGCACAGGCCCGCTTGAGGATGCCGAGGGCCTTTCTACTCACTAACAACCGCTACTCGCCTGACGACCCTCCGCCAGAATCCACCCTTGAGGATCTTTCTGCAGCTCCTCCCGCGGACTCGCCGGGTGTCGAACTTCCTCCTACGCCGACCTCCACGCCCTCGCCGACCGCAGGTAAGGACATTGTGCAGTAACGTGTCGTGCATGTTGATTTTTGAAGATGCGAGAACAAACCAAGATTAACTGTGAGCAGACGCAGTATTATTGGCTTTGCCAGAAGCCGCTGAAACATTTTA